CCTTTTTCATTTGAAATAGTTTTCAGAGAAATTAGAGTTTATATTGACGTGAACGGTTTAGTTATTTGTTTATATTTAATTTAAGGAAGTTTGGAAATCTACTCTATTAAAATAGAGTCATTCTTTTTATCTACTGATACAAGTTGTCATTTAAATTTAGACCCTTTCTAAAGTGTTACAAATATGTAACACAAGCCATATAATTAATTGAACCGCATTACTTAAATTAAACCGATGGTTATTTATGGGATATAGTCTTGGGCTTACTTTTGGTTTTAGAACAAATTATATATTTTTGTTTTTGGGCATAGTATTAAAGAAAAACTCCAAAAAACATTGAATAAATTTTCCACCTTAATAGATAAAAAAAATCAATTATTATTTTTAGGCCCAAAAGGTATTTAATATTTTTAACAAAACAAAATTGTCTATTATTACACATTTATTTAAATCATGTACTTTAAAACATGTTAATGTATTTTTTATTTTAAATAACAATCACTTTATTTTGATAAATATCAATGGTATTTTAAATAATTTATTGTTTTATTTTCTTAAATAATTTACTGATTTAAAAAAATGTAAAGCAAAACTAAAAACCAAATCAAAAAAAAAAAATCAAAACGAAAAGTTGAAAACACAAGTTATTTTTTTTTCTTTATTTACAAAATAAACTATTGCAAATTTCTTTTGTCATCTTTTCAGTTTTAAATTAGATGTTTGATTATTTAGGATTTGTTTGTTGGTAATATCAGTTCAAACTAATTCAACGGGTCTAAAAATTAAAAACACAAACCAAAAGCTGAAAATCAAAGTAGAAATTTTAAAACTAAAAATCAAAAACCAAATCAAAAACAAAATCTAAAAATAAAAACTGAAACTAAAAACTAATGAAAAACAATCATCATCACAAATTTTGGTGAACTGATTTTATACCAAAACATTCTTTAAATTAAGACAAAACCCAATTATATAAATTTTTAATCATAAAAAATTTTTGCGCTTTCAAGCGCGGGTCAAAATCTAGTTTGCATTGTATTAGAGTTTACATTTTCATGTAGGGTTTAATTTTTAATTTATAGGGTTCTGTATAATTTTTGATATATACTATTTTGCTATATAGAATATCAATGCACATGTAACTTTATTCCTCCATTACTTATACAATTATTATCCATTCATGTCGCAATATTCTTTTACATCATGTATTAATTATAATTCGCCTATATGTTTTATATAATTATGTGCAACTAAACAATTATTACGGTAACTATCACATGCTACGTGAAGGGGTAAAATTTGAGAGAATGTGACCAAAAGCATGAATTAAATTATGTTAAAATCAATGTTACTCATTTAATCTGTTATTCAAATATGGCTATCTCGTCAATAAGTTCATTTATATTTCTATATAAAAAAAAATACAAAAAAGTTTTCATATCACAAATGTTGACTGCAGTAGATTTTATTTTCGTATATCTAAACTATTAAAAAATTAGTATAAATTTAAAATACCCTTAAATTTAACTACAATTATTTGACTTTAAACTAGTTAGTTTGGTTTATACCTATATTACAATTTAAAATAACCAGTTAGAAATTAATAATATAATCCTAATTCTTCAGAACAACCCATGTGGTCATTGAACATTTCTTATAACTGGATGTTTTTTTTTAAGTTTGGATATAGATACGATATCCCAATATATATCAAACAAACTTTGGATTTTTGTTATAAAAATGTGATTCACTCCTAATCTAGCATTCTTAATTATCTTCCCTACAATAAGCATAATTAGTTGGAAATCTAATCTTCCAATAAATTTACTAATGGTTTATGAGTTTAAATACAAATAGATGAACTGGAAATAACAAATCAAGCATGATTCTCTATAAATCTAATATTCCTTTATAGATTAATTTTTTTTAATATTACAATTTATTATTCTACAAATAAGAGAATATAATCAGTTAAATCAACCTTACAATCAAGCAATGTCTAATTAATAAGATTTCAATAATAATACCTAACATGCAAACCAATTTTACTAAGCATATATATATATTCCTCTGTGCTAACTTCTTTCATACTCACAACATCCACACAGAAATAAAACCTAAATATGTTGACCATCCCATGAGACCTTCATTGTTATTAAATTAAGGAGATACAGCCATTCAATCACCATCCCATGAGAACAAGGGCCCAGAATAACATCAAAAAACGCCAAACATAGTTCTCACTGCAGTATCGACTCATGTACAAAGTGAAACAGAGCCAACCTCAGTGTCTCAGGCCCTCAAAAATAAAAGGTGGAGAAAACAAACAGTTGAGTTCCGTCTGGATCATCTCTATGGGTTTTTCGGTTTCGCATAGGAATAGAATGTCAGGAGCATTCTTCTTGTGAATCCATTTCAAACGCTGGACTGTTATGTGTAGGAGGTGGGCTGTACCCACCCCTCAGGGCCCACAGAAAATCATACTCGGTCCAGTAAGGGATGGACCGCCAATGTCGACGCGTGACTCAGTGATACCCGAATGGTGTCCGTACGAGTAAGAAGCTCGCCTTGCCGAGCCGAGGAAAGGCGCAACACCAGGGGCCCATTAATCGGTACCAACTTAGGTCAAGATCGAGAGAGAGGTCAAGCTATAAAAGGGGAGGAGGAGAGCACGAAGAGGGTATCTGAAAAATAGACTCACTAAGCGGCGACTTAGATTAGGGTTTCATACCTTGCTTATTTCGTTGTCACAGTCTAGTCCGTACACGATCCCCGGACGAGCTTTCCGAGCGCCGGGGACTCTCTTTGTACTCATTCCCAATTATAAATAAAACCTCTCTCTTTGCTCGTTTTTACTTACACCTTTGTAATAATCCACCGACGAGTCCAGTCACTCACCTCACTGATACACGACCGAACTCGGTTCAAACATTATGGAATTCACCAAACTACAATAGTTCCCCCTTGCAATTACTAAGTACCTGGGTTTGGAGAGACCCAAAAATATGGGTTTCTCCTCCTGATAGCTGGGATGAGCTGGATTGGAGTATTCTGATTTGTGTTTGAGGGTTCTCCTTGGGTAGAGGTCATGGTCTTTCCAGTTTTGGTTCTGCAACCTGCTCTTCCAGGTGAGTACTGGACTTCTACTTCGAACTATTTATGTGTAGTTGACATGAGGTGTATGCCTATCAAATTTCATCCCATCAGATTAACCTCAACTCAAGTTTTTATTCATTCCTTTCTTTGAGTAGTAATACTAACAATTCATGTGTGGGTATTGAAATCTTAGTAAAATATACAAGACTCTTAAATATCGTCTATACAACCTGATGAGAAAGAATAATTCATATGAGGTAACTATCAGCTATTATTTCATTTTAAGCTTTTCTCATGATTATGATAATGTAGATAGATAGAGAGTACTTGAACACACAACCAAAGATTGTGATCATAGTCTCATAGACCATGATCGTAAGAGAACCATCGAACTGATAAAAAGTGTACAAACAATTTTAATTTACATTTCTTTTTGTTTACAAAAAATAATTAAAAAAAAAAACAAAGAGAATGGTCCGCGCGTAGCTCAAAAAGAATCTCTAAATTGCATAATCTGTACTATTATTTGAGAAGTAATTATGTTGATGTATCAATTTCTCTATGATTTTAAATAAAATTTTTTTATTTTTCTTGTTTTAATAATTTCATCTATAATTTATTATTTAATAAAAACAAAATTATACTAATAATATTATATTTTAAAAATAAATTAATTCTTATGCATTAGACTGTTATGTTCAAAAATATATTTTCTACTAGAATTTAAAGTGACTTTGCTGATAGATCTGTAACTTCTTCGTGATTTAGTTAATTTTGATTATTTTCACGTTTTAAATAGTTGATATATAATTTATTATATAACAAATGATTTTATATTAATCATATTATATTTTAGAAAATAAGATAATTCTTATGTATTAAATTTTTATCATGAAAATATATTTTTCTATTCTACAAACTAAAAATTAAGATATTAAAATTAAAATTCAATATATATCAATCAATGTTGATTTGTCAACTTCTCCATGGTATTAGGTAATTTTGATTATTGTCATGTTTTAATAATTTCATATATATTTTAGTATTAAATAAAAAAATTATATTAATAATATTATATTTTTAGAAAATAGGATCATATTTATTAAATTGTTATCTTGAAAATACATTTTCTAGTATATAATTTAAGTGAGTTTTCTGATTTTTAATTGTCTATGATTTAAATATTTTTTCTTATTTTTTTCTTCTATTTTATAATTTCATATATAAATTTATTATAGTAAAAACGAATTTCTATTAATAATGTTATATTTTTCAAAAGTAAAAATAATTCTTATGTATTATATTGTTATATTGAAAATCTACTTTTCTTGTAAAGTAGAAATTTATAATTAAATTTAAATCAAGCAAAAAAATATATAAATATTTTTTTAAAAATATTTTGCTATGTGAGTGTTGTCATTTATAAATAATTTTAAAAATATAAATCATAACTTATTATGTTATTTTGAATTCTTAAAACATAAACTAGTAAGTATTAACAAATAATTATAAAAAATTTATGTCCGCATGTACGAGTAAAACACCTAGTAAGAGATTAAAAAGTGTGTAGATGTAGTAATTTCCGAAATCGAAGTATCTAAATCGAAGTATCTTCATCTCTAACTTTTTTTTTGTGTGGACGTTAAGAAAATAAACCTTAAATTTAATTTTTAGATTTTAAATTTTATATTCTTAAGACTTCCCTGTTCTATTGATTTTTGTTATATGCTACTATATAAGATGATTTAGTTTAAAGAGTCTTGGTTCTAACTGAATAGTATATGATATTATATTAGTTACTAGTCTTATTAACTGTTCCAATTCCAAAAAAGCACATTATGATATCTGAATTACAAACAAACTCTAATGAAGATAAAAAGCAATCCTCCTTAAGAAGGAAGAAACTATTGGATCTTGACACCAAATAGCATAAACCCTCCTTTGTTCTCCTCCACTGGTTTGGCTTCGTCTTGTTTTAGCTTAGAATTAACGAAGTTCTGTGTTTTTACTTGTCCTTCAGAACTGTAATGAACACTCTCGTTTACTTTTTTGCCAGTGACCACTGAATCGTCTTCTGAATAGTAATGAACATCGATCATCAAGAAGTTGTTGCTTTGTCCTTCTAAATCGCATGTGTAAAAGACGATAACATCTCTTTCCTTGAGATTCTTCTCCTTGACGAAACGTTTCCATCCGCTGGTGAAGACAAAGCTCTGGCTACTCCTCCAGTAACAATACCTAAACTTCCATTGTCTCATTGTCCTGTCATAAAACACAACCTCAACGTCTTCTACTATTTCACCCTCTTCTCTCTCGTTTTGATCTTCGTTTATTAAAGGTAAATACTTTACTGCATGCTTCTTAGGTATCACAAGCCGGTTGAGTTTTCCTACATCGCTTGGAGTCAATCCTATTAGAAACAGAGAAATCTCCATTGATTTACAGAGAATGAAGAAGAAGAAATTTGTTATTATTAACTTCTCAACTGAATCCGTTACAAATGGTTTACTATTTATATCTATTGTAACTCGGTTTAACAACAAGTTAACCGGCTCCTAATGTACCAGAATAAACCAACAATCATATAATCCAATACCCCCCCCTTCAAGATGGAGAGTACAGATTATGTAATCCCATCTTGGCAATAATAGAAGTAAACAGACCCGGTTGAACTGCTTTAGTGAATACATCAGCTAGTTGGTTTGCTGAATCAACGTGTAGAGTTTTCAGGAAACCACTCTGCAGCTTCTCGCGGACAATGTGGCAATCATTCTCAATATGCTTCGTTCTCTCGTGATACACGGGGTTAGAAGCGATGTGTAATGCAGACTGATTGTCACAGTAAAGAGTAGCTGGACCTGGTGGAGCACAATGAAGATCTTGAAGCAAAATGTTAATCCAAATGAGCTCACAAGTCGCATCAGCCATTGATCTATACTCGGCTTCTGAACTGCTACGAGAGACAGTTGGTTGTTTCTTTGATCTCCATGAAACAAGTGAATCACCAATGAACATGCAATAACCTGTAACCGATCTCCTTGTATCAGGGCAAGCAGACCAATCAGCATCAGAGAAAGCAGTCACATGATTAGAAGATGTGGAGGAATAGAAGAGGCCTTGGCCCGGAGCATTCTTCAGATAACGGAGAACTCTGTTAGCAGCTTGTAAATGAGTATCACGAGGATGAGCCATGTAATGACTGAGCTTGTGCACGGCATAAGTGATGTCAGGTCGTGTATGAGTAAGATAAAGAAGTCTCCCCACAAGCCGACGGTATACTGAAGCATCAGATAACAAAGTACCTCCAGACTCTGAAAGCTTAACTGTAGGATCCATAGGAACACTAACAGGTTTACAGCCAAGAAGACCAGCATCTTCAAGTAATTCAAGAGCATATTTGCGTTGATTAATAGAAATCCCTGCAGCAGTTCTGGCAATCTCAAACCCAAGAAAATATTTTGCATCACCCATATCCCTCAGCTTAAATGCACTCTTCAAAGTCTCTTTTACTTCCAAGATCACGTCATTGTTGTTTCCCACTAACAGTATGTCGTCTACATAAACAAGTAGAGCAACATACGCAGTAGAATTATGGCGAACAAAGAGAGAGTGATCACCAAACGCTTGAGTGAAACCAGCACCAAGAATAACTGAAGTGAGCTTATGATTCCATTGTCTCGAAGCTTGTTTGAGACCATAGAGAGATCGATGAAGTTTGCAAACAGAATTAGGTGAAACGGATTTGCCTGTCAGCTCAGTATAACCCGGAGGAAGCGTCATGTAGATTTCTTCATCAAGATCACCGTTTAAGAACGCATTGCTGATATCAAGTTGAGTGATAGACCAGTTATACAAAGCTGCAAGTTTAAGCAAAATACGGAATGTTCCCAGCTTGGCCATAGGGGAGAAGGTGTCGAGATAATCCAAACCTTCAAGCTGAGTATACCCTTTTGCGACAAGACGAGATTTATGTCTCTCAATAGTACCATCAGGGTTATACTTGATAGTGTTTACCCATTTACAACCAACAGGATGTTTACCTGAAGGAAGATCACATACAGTCCATGTTCCAGTGTCCTCTAGAGAAGTCATTTCAGCCTTCATGGACTTAGTAAACTCGACAGACTTGACAGCTTCCTCAAAGGTTTTGGGTAAGGTATTTGTGGAAATGGATAAAACAAACTGCTTATATGTTGGGTTAAGGTTTTCATAGGTAAGGAAAGCAGATATGGGATAGGTTGTGGTATGAGTCGGATGAAATGAAAAATTGGGTATCTGACGTAAAAGATAACAATGATACTCATCAAGATAAGCAGGAGCCTTAGTATGTCGTTTTGATCTATGCTCAACTATAGGTGAAGAAATAGAAGACTAAGAAATAGAGGAAGCTGTGGAAGGAAGAGAATTTTCCACAGAATAACTTTGAACCGAAGGAACTGAGTTAGGTTCATGAGCATGAGATGTAGGATTAGTAAAAACAGAGTCATCCAGAGATGCATCAAAGGACGCAGGAAACAAAGATTCTGGAATAGGAAGAGGAAGAACAGATTGATCAAAGATATCAGTGACACGAGGACTATCCTTGAATGGGAAAACATTCTCATGAAATACAACATTGCGACTAATGGAAATGGTGTTGGTGTCTAGATCTAAGACCTTATACCCTTTATATCCATTTGGATAACCCAAGAAAACACACTTAAAAGCCCTTGGTGAAAATTTATGTCTATCTTTCAAAAGAGTAGAAGTGTAACATAGACAACCATAGGTACGTAGGTGACCATAGGATGGAATTTTAGTAGTAAGGAGTTCAAAAGGAGTTTTGTTATTGAGTAAAGGGGAAGGGGTACGGTTTATAAGGTAAACAGAAGTCATGACACAGTCTCCCCAATATTCAAGAGGAACGTTAGATTGAAACAGGAGGGATCGAGCCACATTCAAGATGTGTTGGTGTTTGCGCTCAACAACAGAATTTTGTTGTGGTGTATAGACACAAGAGAAATAATGAATGATCCCTTTCTGTTTTAATAGGGAAGAAAAGTTGAGTTCAGGGGCATTATCTGATCTTATACTCTTAACTCTTGTTTTGAACTGGGTTTCTATCAATTCTTGGAACTGAGGAAAGACTGTGAGAACAGAGCTCTTAGTTGGTAAAAGATAAAGCCAAGTGACTCTAGTACAGTCGTCAACTAAGGTTAAGAAGTATTTGTATCCTTCAGGAGTTGGAACATGAAAGGGACCCCAAACATCTAAATGAATCAGATCAAACGGATGTTTTGAAAGTTTATTAGAAGAAGTAAAAGATAAACGTTTCTGTTTAGCAAGAGGACAAATGTTACACACTGTATCTAGAGAAGTTTTCCCATTTGGAATAGCTAAGAGCTTAGACAAGGCTTGAATTTTAGCAGGAGAAGGATGTCCAAGTCTTTGGTGCCAGACATCAAACGAAATATGAAAAGCTTGATGAGTAGAAGGGTGTGCTTCAGGAGCGTTTAAGACATAGAGATTCTGATAGAGATCACCCTTCCCAATCGTGGAGTCCAGAATATGCTCCTGAAGCACAAAAGGATTGGAAGGAAAGATGAGACACTTATTTGTGGAAAAAAGAACAGCGATAGGACTGTTTCTGGTAAGGGCACTTATACTGAGAAGATTGAACTTGAAATTCGGAACATATAAAACAGATGTGAGAGTGAGATGTTCCGATAAGTGTATAGTGCCCGAGATGGTAACAGAAAGATTGGTACCATCAGGAAAAGTAACAGTGGTGTTAGAGATTTGTTGAGTGGAAACAAAGAGAGTTAGATCAAAACAAACATGACAACTAGCTCCTGTATCTATTATCCAAGACGTTGCAGGTAAAGTAAGGCGGTTTTGGGTTCCAGTATCACTAAAAGAAGAGAAAATGTGATAAGAATTACCAGGTGCTGGAAGAGGAAGAGGGGTTAAATGTGGTTGAGGTTGAGAGGTGGAAGCTGTCCCGTCTGCCAAAGTAAACTTCGTCCCTGAAATCTGAGCACAGTTGCTCTGAATAGCAGGAGAAGACATATTCAGAACACTTAGAAGACGCTGGACCTGATCTGTAGAAATGTTCCCCAAGTAACCACCCTGCTGATCGTGTAGAGTAACACTTCCAGAACCTTGAACTGTCAAACTTGCTACATTTTCCTTTTTAGATGTAGAGGTATTCGCTGATGTGGTCTGAGATGAGGTCTGAGAATCAGGTTGTGGCTGTGATCTGTAACCAGACTTGTATCCTGGAGGAAAACCATGAAGTTTGTAGCAACGATTCACAGTGTGACCTGTCTTCCCACAGTGTGAACAGATCATCTTGTTCTGTGATTTGTTATGACCATACGCAGCAACAATCTGATCATTTGGCACTGCAGGGGTGACTGTTGATGATGTCTGAGGTGTAGCAGGAGTTAATGTAGAACCACCTTTCATCGATCTCTGTCTTTCTTCTTGAGAAACAAGGTTAAAGACACGAGATATAGAAGGCTTTGGATCCATCATCAAGATCTGACCTCTAGTAGCAGTAAAAGTATCATTTAAACCCATCAAAAACTTCAAGATACGGTCTTGTTCATCTCGCTTAGCTAGTTTCTTGAGATTATCACAATCTAACTTTCCACAACAACAGGTGTGAGGTTCCTCGTGATTCTTTAACTCTTCCCACAACTGTTTAAGCTTCGTGTAGTATTCACTAACGGTCTGGGAACCTTGAGTTTCAGAAAAGATCATCTGCTTAATCTCAGCAGTACGAGGACCATCACTTTGCTTAAATTGATCATGTATATCTAGCCACATTTGACGAGCTGTGTCTAGATACATGATGCTCTTAGCAATTGACTTATCTACTGCATTCACAATCCAAGTACAGATAATACTATTGCAGCGAGTCCAAGATCCAAAATCAGGATGAGATTCTTCAATATCCGGAAACGTTCCATTCACAAAGACTAGCTTATTTCTAGCTCCCAATGCCATAACCATAGATCTACGCCAGGTATTAAAGTTTCCTATCCCTGTAAGCTTCTCAGAGACCAAAGATATACCTGCGTGATCGGAGATATGAACGAAAAGAGGATTCGAATTCGGATCTTGAAGAGAAGCAGTACGCGGTGTTTGATTTTGAATCGGTGGAGTTATCGGACTGGAATTGGAGTTGACAGCGTTCGCGTATGACACCGGCATCATATGAATTAGAAGATCGAAGCTCAGAAGAGAGATTTATAGCTCAAATCGGAATCGGAGAAGTTGAGATTGAAATGGATGAATCGAGATGGCGGAGACGGCGGAGACGACGGAGATGCTCGGAACGAACGATGAATCGTCAAGAAGAAGCGGAAGAGAGGAGCACGAGGCTCTGATACCATATTAGAAACAGAGAAATCTCCATTGATTTACAGAGAATGAAGAAGAAGAAGTTTGTTATTATTAACTTCTCAACTGAATCCGTTACAAATGGTTTACTATTTATATCTATTGTAACTCGGTTTAACAACAAGTTAACCGGCTCCTAATGTACCAGAATAAACCAACAATCATATAATCCAATAAATCCCTTCCGAAAAAGCTCTAAACACTTGTCTGATTCTTGATCTTCTCTTCCTCCTTGGACTTGTTTTGATCCAAAGATGTTAATACTAGTGACATTCTGTCTAAGAAAATCTCCAAACTTACGTTGGTAAGAACCGTCTTTGATCATGTCCAACACAGCTTCCGTTGTGTAACCTTTTTGAAAGTTCGGCTCGTAAACCGTGAAAGCATTCAAAGGGAAGTTCCTATGAGAATTATCATCAAAGCTTCGGAGTTTGATGGATGCGCTATCGTAAGCTGTAGCAGCTTCAACAGAGGATTTAAAAGTTCCTAGCCAAATCCTCTTGTGCTTTATGTATATCTGAGCGCCCCAGTGACCGTTTTGATGTTGAACCACACCCTTGTATTTTGAATTGCCTAAAAGTGCAACCTTTTTCGTGGAATCAACTAGGACATTGTCTGTTGCGTCATCAAAAGGTCTCTTGCGTTTTTTGAGAGGCAACAAAGGGTTGCTTGTGCTTGAAGTCTCCGTCTTTGGACTGTAGGTACCCATTAACAATAACAATAGCTTGGAAAGATAACAAAACGGTGCAGAAACTAGATGTAAGGTGAAAGGAGAAAGAGAATGATATTTGAATTTGTGTTTGAGTAGATACGTAGGAGATTTATTTATAGAGTAATCACTTCATATTTTCCATTTGTTGTTGTCTCTATAATTGACCGTTGGTAGTTGGTATATTGACGTTTTCGAAGTTTCCTTTTTTCTTTTACTCAACTTGAAGTTTCCTTTTTTGGTAAAGAAAAGGAAATTAACTAAAGACCAGCTGTAAAAAATTTAAAGTTACTTATCGGTGATGGATTATTTATTTATTTATTTTTGTTATTATTTTGTGATTCATTAAACTGAAATGTTTTTCAGGAAAAAGAAAAAGTAACACTATTTTTTTAATGTACTATTGAATTTATTTACCTCCAAAAAAACTTTTACAATAAATATGCATCACAAAATTTAGGGTTTTGTAATCATCATTACGCCTAATCATCACAAAGTCTGATCAAATCGATAAGGGAGGAGACTTCCCTCACGTCTGACCAAGTTAAGGTCCGCAACATCGCCATCAAATCCAGTAAACTATCTCCCTCCATTGTGGATCCGCACGCTTTCGATGAAGTTCAATTGTTCGAGTGATTATGCAATGATGCAAGATGGCTCTTGGCCATATTCTCTCTGGATTAACAAACCTCTTTAACCATATATTTCGTCACCCATGAAAACTTAAAAGTAACATTCCGAGTCCTTGCTATTAGTTCCTCTGTTTCTGATGTATTTTCAAGTGTGATACACTGCTAGTTTACACAAACTTGCCAAATCGTGTAGAAACAAGTTGTTCCTTTTAGCAAAAAAAAAAATAATAATAATAAGTTGTTCTTTAGTATTGAAATGATCATCCTTGAAAGTTTAGGAACTCATATTTTCGATTTTGTGATTCAGACTGATGTTGATGGAAACAGACCAATGGATTAGATCGAGTTTACAACTGAAACAATGCATAGACATAGGCTAAAATGTGAGGAAGATTTGAAGATTTAAATATCTGACGTGGCTGTTGTAAATCAAAAGGAGACACTACTCTAGTTTACTTCTATTTTTTTTGTTAAGTATGTGAATCTTCATTAAATCAATAATGATGCAAGGAGATACATGTAAGAATATTTTATATTCTGTGTGACCTATATGTTTATTGGTTTAATATAAAGTTCAAGTTCATATTAATACTTATAGATTCTAACATAAAAGACAATACCGTGATGGATCGGTTTTGATTAATGATTTAGAATTCGAGTGTTTTGATAATCCTCCTATTTTAACTTATGACTAGGTAATAACTTGCGCCATGCGTGGAATGAGATTATTATTTTTGTTACTTTAAAAATAAAAATGATATTATGTTTGTTTAGCATGAATATTGGTTTAGTTTTACATTGTTTTTTTAATGTCCTAAAATATAAATATCATTCTAAATCTATATTTATTTTGGTTTGTTTGGTTTAAATGTTTGATATTTTAAATTTTTTTGATGATAACCAAAAACTATTGTTATTTGTTTGGTTTCGTTTTATATAAATTTTAGACATTTTTTATGTCGAACTAATAGTTTCCTATTATAATTTCTAAAGACATGTAAAATCAAATAAAATCTAAATAATATTTGAAGAAAAAAATTATTAACACAAAACATTTCACTATCCTTTGAGCGATAGTGAAAGAAAACATTAAAAAAATCCAACTTCAATAAGAATTAAAATTCTCACTTGTGGTGATTATTTAGTTATATAGTCGCTCATGTCAATGTGTACATGTATGTATATGTAAAAGTATATAAATGTGATGATAAATATATGAATATACCATTAATTAAGATTTAAAACATTTTTGTTCAAAATAACACATGATAGTAAATTCTTAAATAAAATTAAGTAAAAAAAAAAACTAGAAATTAATAACATTTTCATATGAAAAAAATAAAATTGTACCCGTAAACAATAGAAATAATATATATTACAAAGTGACATCTTCACTTGGTACCTGGTTTCTGTTTTTAATCGATTTTGTGATTTTTATTTCTTTTAAAAGTTTTTTTATTTCTGATTTTTTTCTACCAATTTGATTTTGTTTCTAATTCTTGTCTGATATGAAAACTTTATAAAAAAGTTAATATTTGACTAAACGAAAGATCCGACTTTATGTGTGGTGTTATTCACCTCAGTTTCTTTAACTCATAATCAATCATCGTATTTGTTGTTATTGTGTACCGAATCCTCAACCATGACCAACTTTGGCAAGGTACGAAACTTTCAATTTCTATAAACATTTTCATCCCAACATTTTAGTTGATTCGAATCTTAATGATTGTGTATTTTTTTCAATAAATATATTATACATTAATTTCACGCAGAAAGTTTTAATTTATTAATACAAATACTAAAAATGTAGGAAAAATGAAGTAATTAAAAAATAGTATATAAACACATTAAATAATAAATTAAAAAATTAGTGTGGAAACGCATTAATTACCAAATGATTGTGAGGCTGATACGTGTCAGTTACGGTGTGAAAGCATTTATTAATCTCTTTATCATATATGTACAAGGTAATAATAAAAAGCATATATTGCCATGAGATTCAATGTATATGAAATATATGTTGTTATACGGTTATTGTATCAAAGAGTTATATGTTGGAATTGTGGAGAGTTTGTTGCTTAACACACAACCAACCCTTTGACTAATATAAAAGACCTCATGCATTATTTTACACTCACTCAAGAAGACGAGGATCTTTAAAAATACACATACAACATAATATTGATTATTAAGAGAGATTAAGGAAGACTGTGATTTCTTTTCCATCAAAGAAAGAAGATTAAAGGGGATAACATCAATTGGTGGGATTGCATCCAAGTATATATCAAGGTTAGTGTTTCTATTTTCTTTTTTAAACATGTTAGGATTGAGTTACAACAAATCTAAATTAGGTTTTTGTGTTTAAATAAATTAACATGTGGTATCAGAGCCAGTTTAGTTTTGTTTAATTCACCTTATTAACCGGCATGAACATATACGGTTAGATCCGTTTTAAAGCGTATTCATGTTCCTCATACGGTTTCATAAAAATTAATCTGAAAAGATGTTTTTTGAATTGTGTTAACGTTAACGCAACAAACGTTATACACTTACATTACATGTACGATTTTTGTTATGGAACAAACGTAAACATTAACGTAGTGTGTGCATGAAGTTTGTGTAAATTATTTGCATGTCTTCAATTTTCTGAAGAAACTGAGTGCGGTTATTGTCGTGATATTAAAGAATCACCATTACATTTGCGATAATAAGAAAGTATATAATCATCATTCGTTTAATTAAATGTGAAAACTGGGTTTTACGACAACAAACGTAAGGCACATAATGATTAATAACCGTAAACGGAAGTTCTTTTTCTGAAATTTTGTCCACATGTAATAAATATATCGATCGTTAATAAAAATACTCCCTCTGTTTCATTATAAGTGTCACTTTAGAGCTATGTACATGGATTAAGAAAACAATTAATTTTACATATTTCCTATATAAAAGCACAGTTACCTATACATCTAACCACATTTTAACCAATAGAAAAAACAAATTACATAATAAAATTAATAAAATTTACATTGAAAACCAAAAACGACATTTATTTTGTAATGAATTTTTTTTTTATAACGACACTTAATATGAAATGAGAGAGTAAGTCATAAAGTTGTGTATGTTTGTTTTCTGAGAGTTAGTAAACAACAATTAATTAAAACAACTTAGTGCCTTGTCGGAATTGTCACCTAGTGTGCATAAAAATAGTTTATCAAAGTAGATGCATATTTGAATTAATAAAGATGTGTTATGTTGTCGTTGTCATGTTTCGGTTAATGGTATTTTTCGTCAATATCATTGAACATAAAACAACATACATAACTAAATCAAATATGCAATTAGAGTTAATTTAATTTAATTAAATAAATAAAATACTTCCGCGCATTTGAAAATAATAATTATTATTATGTTATGAAATATTAACATAATTTAAGTAGTCTTTAGAATTTTTAATGCTTATATTGTATATAACATGTTAGTCACCAAAGTGATCTTGTTATATTATATATAGATATTAAAATTGTATAGTTAATTAATTGATCAAAATATCAGTGATGCTAAATGACATAAATGTTTGATAGATCAATTAATTTATTTTTTATATTTTAGAAGATTGCCAGAAGATGAATCACTGAATATACAATTAATAAAGAAAAGAATTAGTCATTTTTTACTCTAGTTGATATAATATGTATATCCAAAGATAACATATTTATTTGACTATTGTTTGATTTGATTAATATTAAAGTATATATATTTAGCATCAGTAAAAGTACTTGTATTTAAGTATTGTCCAAAGGTTATTTAAAATACAAGTTATAAAATATTAGATTAGTCTGAATATATTAAAGTCTCAAAGCACTAATGGGTAAACATGTATGAATGCTTGCAGCTTCATCAAATGTGTTTGCATATGCTAACTCTGTGGTAAAGTTTAATGGCCTCAACTATGGTGAGTGGTTCGAGCAAATCCAGTTTACACTGGGTGTAATGGCTTTGGACTCTGCCATACTAACTGATGAGGAACCCTCAGCTATTACAGTAGATGGCTCTGAATCTGAAAAGTCCCATTATGAGAGATGGGAGCGATCTAACAGGTTGAGCTTGAACCTTATGAGGTTGACGATGGCAGAAATTATTATCAATGCCTAAGACAGAGAAAACAAGGGAATTCATAGGCAAATTAAGGAGTGTTCACAATCGGAATTGGCTGACAAGTCAATTGTAGGAAGCCTCGTGAATGAGCTAACTACAAAGAAATTTGACTGGTCTCAGCCCATCCACGATCATGTGACAGGCAGCAAAGTTAACGACCTTGGGAATGGAAGTTCATCAGCAGTTTTTGGTCCAATTCATCATGAACTC